GCAGGAGCTGTGTAGGGCAAGGGTGCAGCTGCCCTGCTAGCTGACTGAGCAGGCAGCTGCTTTGCTCGGCTGCTCTCAAGCGTGTGGGGAGCTCTGTGCTGGCCTCTAGCAGCGTTTCTTCAGGTCATTTCTGTCCCTTCTTTCCCAGACGCTGTACACCGTGAAGGCTGAGATATCCCCTGCAGTGGGGGCAGAATATTGCAGAACAGGCTCACTCTGCTCCTTGGAAGTGTCCATCACACGACTCGCAGACCTGCTGGAGGTGGACAAGGACGAAGCTCTGACAGAGTCTGATGAGTACTTTTCGACAAAGCTTATGTATGAAGGTAGGTCTCGAGGCTGCTGTTTCCTGACTTGTGGCAGTCCACTGCATCAGGTGTACCCCTTCCCTCACAGTGCAGTCCTAGGAGAGAGTGTTCTAGAATGACAAGTGCCGACTGACAGGTTCATGTGCAGCCTGGGCTCCCGGGTGCTGAGCTTCATTACTTGGAGTGCTTTTTAGTGAGGATTTATGTGGCCGTTTCAGGGCTTACATGGAGAATACAGTGGCACTCCTGCCTATCTGGGTCCCAGGGTCTGACCACTGCTCCCCACTGCTCAGCTGCTGAGGCTCCAGGACCACACGCCTGCCAGCCTCCCATACTGCTCTCTCCCAGGCCCTCTCGTCCCTCCTCCACCGAGGCCCTGGCTCGGAAGTTCTCAGTCCAGAAGTTCTCAGACCCACTGTAAATGTGACTGATGAGCCAAATATGTACATATTTACTTTAAAACAACAATAGTAACCCCATAGCATGGCATTTTTCATGAAAGTAACTCCCCAAAACAGTGAGAAGAATGACATGGCAATCTCTTAGATGTCTAGCTTAATAGAAGCCACTGAAGCTTCACTTGTGCTTTGAGGTGATGGGTTGATTATTTGGAGAACATGAAGCATCTCCAGCTGCTCAGACTTGTTGCTGGGAGAGGGACATACCTGAGCAGCCTCTCAGCTATTGGGCTCTTCTTGTTGATGCTGTGGGTTTTAACACCCGGTGTGCCAGGAGTCTGAACTCACATGGGTGCCCCTGAGGCCCTCATTTCTGTAAACCCTTCTGCTCATGCTGCATTTGAGTGAATCTCTGCCTGGCCCTCCCTGTGTGATGCCGAGCACTGGCCACTGGGAAAACAGGCAGATCATCTAGCATTGACATGCTCCACTCTACACTTTCGGAAGTCTGCATTTGAGCTGGGCGTGTGGCGCACATCACATCAGCTCTGGAGGCTGAGGCAGGGAGATCACAAGTTCAAAGCCAGCCTCAGAAACTTAGTGAGGACCTAAGCAACTCAGTGAGACTCTGTCTCACTGAGTTTAAAAAAAAAAAAAAAAAAAAAAGTGTGTGGTGTGGGCTGGGGAATGTGGCTCAGTGGTGAAGAGCCCCTGGGTTCAATCCCTGGTACCAAAAAAATGTCCACATTTGGAAGCTCACCTGGTGAGTCTTTGAGCACTACCTTTGCCAGGCTGCAGTGGTAATTGCAAATTTCTCCAAATCCTGAAGAAGTTTTAAATTCTATCACTGGCAACAAATACTGTTAGGTTTTCTCTGAAGTGACAGCCTCATATGGTCCACTTTCAAGAAATGTTTGCTGACTACCAAGACCACTCGTGTTTCTCTGTCACTGATTCAAGTAAGAAGACTGTTCCCTGGGAACAGCAGCCAGCCCAGTGCACAGCGCAGCCTGCACATGCCCCCTGAGAGGCCAGAGGTGGTGAAAGCACAATTGCTCAGGACCTGGGGACCCTGATGTCCTTCAGCTCCTAGGGGCTGAGCTCCTAGGGTAGTCTGACAAGCCCGCCGACTAGGTGCTGCCGTTCCCTTGTGATAGTCTCATAATGACAGCAGTACAGGGAGCAAGAGGGGGTCAGTGTGGACAAGGTCAGTGTGGGTGGGGAGGCAGTGGGGGCTGGTGACAGTGATAGCAGACGGTTCTGTGCCTGCGCTGTGGTGCTTGGTCTCTGATTCCACATGGGGGGCAGATGCTGTGGAATTGTACCCAAAGGCAGACCAGGCCACAAGTACCTCTAGAAGCTGGGCATCCCAGGAGGGCTATGGTCTGGTCACTGTTGTCCAGGGTCTGAATCCTGTTGTTACGTGAGGTGGCACAGGTTGGCGGCTGGTGATGGCTTCACCCTCTTCCCACTGTTCCTCCACAAACCTCTGTGGTTTTTAAAGGTGCCTACCCAGGCTCCCTGTTTGATTGGGTTGACAGTGGTGGATGCTTTTAGTTAAGCTGCAGTTTGTTCCTCTAGGTTCGTGGTGGTGAAGAACAGGAAGGTCAGGACTAAGCGAGTCTGTGCCTCCATAAGTCCCTGGGATGGGGAGCTGCAGCCCCCTTGCTGCATCTCCTTCTTGAGGCCAAGTCCTGTCTTGCTTGCCTTCCTGTCCCCAAGTTCCACCCTGCTACTGTCCCTTCCCAGGCTGGTCCTGCTGAGTGCCTGCTGGGGTGCTAGACCTGGCTGAGCCAGTACAGGTTGTCTTGAGCACTGCTGTTGATGACAGCAGCTGTCAGACCTTGGGACTCTGCTGCGTCCCAGCGTGGAGCTGCGTGCTTTCTGTGCATCTCCCTTTCTCGTTCTTAGGAAGTGGCCTCTACAGGGCGGTTGCACCTGAGGCCCGGGAGGCTTGTGTGAGTGGCAGGACCTGGATCCAGACTGCTGGTCTTGATGCTGCTGCTCATCAGAGAGAACCGCTACCTGTACTGCTGCCCCTGGCTGTTTTAACCATTCTTTATTCAGAAAGAAAAAGTGCTTTTCTGTGCGGGCCAGTGTGATCCAGTCTGAACCGGGGCTGATGAGCACTGGACTAGCAGAAATGCTGACCTTGGCCACAGAAGCACAAACGGCATTTTAAGGAGCAGMCACCTCATTTGGAGCTTCCGCTGTCAGGGCGCAAGGGCTAATGTATGGTGGTCCTCAATTTAGCGTGCGTACTGAATGTCCTGYGTCTCCTCATTTCAGTTGTTGACAACAGCAGCAACTGGGCTGTGTGCGGAAAGAGCTGTGGTGTCGTCTCCATGCCTGTGGCTGCTCAGGCCACTCACAGAGTCCACATGGAAGTCATGCCTCTCTTTGCGGGCTACCTGCCCTTGCCTGACGTCCGGCTGTTTAAATACCTCCCTCATCACTCTGCACACTCCTCACAGCTGGATGCTGGTAAGGACTTCGGGAGAGAGGGCACAGACCTCCTTGACCTATGACAGGCCATCTGACAGCCCGCCATCAGGCCAGAGTATCGTAAGCTGGAAATACCTCCACTATGCCTGACCCACCGGCCATCTGGTTAGCCAGGCCTCCCTTCAGGGGCTCAGCACAGCCCTTAGCCTGTAGGAGGGCAGACTCCTCTGATCTGAAGCCTTGTGAGCACAGATAAGTGCAGGTTCCAGAGCATTCAAAACGCAGTACCCAGAAGACACTGGCACCACGGTGCACCCTGGGGCTGGTTGTCCCCTGGTAATCACAGGCTGCTGGTTGCTGCAGCTCTCAAGAGAGGGTCAGACCACATGTCACCAGCCTGGGAGAAGATTAAGATTCAAAATCTGAAGGGTAGTTTCCACTGAATGTGTACTGCTTTCACTCCTTTGGAAAGCGGAAAAGGTCATAGGTGGAACCATTGTAAGGAAGGGACTGTCCATGTCAGTTCAGTAAGCAGGCTATAGCCTCTCATGGAGAGGTGCTCTCCGAATGCAGGGCAGACTGGAGAATCAACTTGTTTTCAGAGCTGATAGAACTAGTACAGAACCTTGTCCCTGGTCACAGTTGGCCTCGCTCTGAGGGTTGAGCCTCTCTCTATCCACAGGGTTCTGTTAAGGCAGGGCCTGGGGTGACACTCTTTCACACCCACAGGTCAGCACAGGGCAGCTTTGCCTCTCTGGGCTGGTGCTCCTGCTCAGTCTCACTTTTGTGTGTTCTGCAGACAGCTGGATAGAAAACGACAGCCTGTCGGTGGACAAGCACCCAGACGACCAGCTGGACTGCAGCAGTGTGCGGAGTAGAGGCAGTGTGGCCTCAGTCGCCAGCAGCGAGCACAAAGGCTTGCCCATGCCCCGGCTCCAGGCGCTCCCTGCCGGGCAAGTCTTCAACTCCAGCATGGGCATGCAGGTCCTGGTCATTCCCAGTCAAGATGACCATGTCCTAGAAGTCAGTGTGACATGACAACCTGCGGATCGGCCGACACCGCAGACTGGCTGTGAGTGCACTTGAGGGATCGTGCCTGGACTGTTCTCTGGTGAAACATGCTAGTGCTAACCAGACTTTGGCTGTTCTGCTTGGCCAGGGAGGTGTCGGAGAATGGCATCAGTCAGCTGGTCAGTGGAGAAAGAGCGTCCTTTGTGTTGTCTTTGGAACAGGATTTCTTGTCGTCTTCCCTCCCCTTCCCTGTGCTGGTGTCCAGTGTTTGCCTAGAGCCCCAGCTTCCTTCACCTACCCACTCGCTGCTCCTAACACAMCTACCCTGGGTCTCCCCCACAGCCTCCCTCTGCTGGTTCTGTGTGCAGGCCCATCTGACTTTCAGATGGAAGTTCAGCAAGCCTTGCAGTCTTCCTGTGACATCTGTGTGCCCTCTGGCCACACAGCTGCCTGGCCTCCTGAYCGGGAGGACTGTGAGTCTTCTAAGGGGTGAAATGCATCCCTTCCTTCCAGACCACTACTATGTGCTTTTCTACAGTAACACCTCCTAGGGCAGGTAGGCGGGGTGCAGGGTGGGCTTGGGAGAGAGCAAACCCCTTGTGTGCCTTGGGATGCCAGAGCCAGGCTGACTGGGAGGTCCACGGCTGAGCTGCTAAAGGTACTTGAGGATGTCTAGAACAGGGCATAAGGAACAACGCAGCATTGGAAGCTCTTWGGAAAGAATGTTTCTGGACCCATTTCCCCTAATGTTGATTGAATATCATATGCACTTGGAATTAAATATGTATTTAATTGTCATTACATATGTGAGGGTTAATATTGTTTACTTTTCTCTCACTTTTAAAGTCTGTACATGTAATTGTAACTGTATAATCAGCATCTTTCTTTTGCACCTTAAGTCTTAGAAGCTTAGATGCTCCATCTAAAGTACAGATTAGAGGGGTCTTCTTGGTGTGTTCCAGGCTGTGTGTAGGACTCAGGGCCTGGGGTAACCTCTGCTGGTCCACTCAGTTGCAGTCAGACCATACCAACAAGTTAATTTACTTTCAGTTGTAAATTTAATTGTATATATGGTTGATTTATTATTTTTAAAAGTACAGACTAACTAATGTAATGTTTATGTATAAGTTGCACCAAAAATCAAGGACAAAATAAATGTTTGTTTTTACTGGTGTGAAAGTTACAGCTTGTAAATAAGTGTTGTAGGTATTAAACCTTTTCCAGCTCTCCAAAGCGATGTATTTTTGTACATATGAAATTGTTCTCTGAATTCACCGGTACAGTGTGCTTAGAATTGAACTTGTCAACATCAGTGGGAGCAGAGGGTGGGGCCTTGGTTAACTTGAGAGATCAGGAGCCTCTTCAGCAAGGCTGACCACAGCAGGTGCCACGCTCAGGAGGCTGAGGGGACAGGGAGCACAGAGCCCAGAGTGAAGCCAAGCAACTGAGCAGTCATTTTCAGRCTTCTGTACGTTGGGGTTTGACTCATTCAGTTAAATAAAGGTGGTATGATTTTCCTCCCTTTTTCATTTTTTAGAAATTGGAGAAACGTGTAAAGAAGATATTCATATAAACTTGGTCAAACTAGGTAGGCAAATTAGAACTCCAGGCGCTAAAGTCCAGGGTCTCCAACGAGTTGTTTTTTTTTAATTATATATATATAATTTTATATATATAAATGATGCTTGGCTTGCCATCCTGCCCAGACCCTGAGCAAAGGTCTCTGTTAGCCTAGAGCCAAAAAAACAGGCCTTTTTSATATGCAGTTCCCCTGTTTACCCTCTGGGAGAGGGGCAGAATTCAGTGTCTAGTTTATTCTATTTGGGTTTTCTGGCGTCTGCTTTCTCAGGTTGAATTTTCTAATTACATATATCTACAGGAGGAAAACAAAGGGGAGGTTCAAAATGTTTATGGTGTCTCTTCTGATCTGGAAAATGAGTGAAACCAGTTTTCCCCAATCACTTAGAAGATCTTTAGCCAACTAAGATGAATGTTGTTTTGTTTTTTTTTTTTTGACAAAAGAATGTCACTCAAAAAAAAAACAATAACAACAACAAAAACATCTTTTGTCTCTTTAATTCACCATACGAGTAACCAAGAGGCTGTCACTGGATTTTTGTTGCAAGGTTTTGTGTTGAGGAGGCTGGTTTTGTTGAACAGTTGTGAAGCCTAATGGGATGTGTGTATCAAAAACAAAGAATCACGTGGCCATTGTACAGAGAACCTGTGGAACATGGAAGTGGAAAAGAAAACTGGTTATAATTTTTGTGAATTTCATGGGTTCTCCTATGATTGGAAAAATTATAACTCCCGATTCTCCTGTGGGAATTACTGTACCGAGATGGGTGACTTCTGCCTCGGCCCCGTGGGCGCCGGCCGCTGGGTTCCCGTGGGTTCCTGCATTACCGAGTCTGCGGTCCTGAGGCTGGACATCCCATAAAGACACACAAAGCTTTATGCACTGTTTGTGTATAAAATAAACTGCATTTTAAAATGAAATAAACACCAGGTTTGTTTAATTTAAGGTACAAAGTCACGCTGCTTTTTCTGTAGCTGCGCTGCTCGGCTTCACTGTCGACCACGGAGTCCGGTCCGTCGCCGCGCTCCTGGCTCTACCGTCGCGGGTCGGGACAGGCCGCTGCGGCCGCGGCGCCCCCCTGGACAGGGCGGGACTCGCTCCGCAGGGCGGGGTCCGCCCGAGCTTCCCAGGGAAAGCCATCTTCACACCCTTCGGCGACACTGTCAGGCTGCAGCCACYGTGTCAAACCGTTTAAAATGTAATAAAACTCGGAAAACACGCAGTTTGACCAACCGTGCTTCTCTGAACCCGCTTCCGGCCGCGGTGCCTCGCGCTCTCGCCCTCCCGGCTCGGGGGCAGCCCGCGCTGCGGCTCTGTAGGGCGCCGCTGCGTCCAGTCCCCAGGACTGGGCTGCCCACAAAGGGGCTGCCACTTACGCCCGCGGCATCTGCGCTGCCAGGCTCGGCGAGCGCCGGCCTCGGGGCGCCAGGTCAGCGCGTGGCGGAACCCTCCCACGGCCCCCCGGAAGTGCGCGCGGCGGAAGTCGGCCTTGGCTCCGCCCCGGAAGTKCATTGTGTGCACCCACCTTCGCAGGCCGGAACTCGGCGCTCGGACTGGGGCGCGGCACGTGTGGTGGCCGCGATGAAGTTCGCGTACCGGGTGAGCAGGACGGTGGGTGCGGGAACCCCTGGTCGGCCTGAGGAGGGGGCGGCCGCGAGGCGGAGGAAGGCGGGGTCGCACTGTGCTCGTCCCCGGCCCTGCGAGCGCTCCCTGTGTCGCCGCCAGTCGCAGCCGGAGCAGGACCCAGCAGTGCAAACCAGGCGTGGCGGTGTGTCCCCGAGGCGTCGGGCCCCAACCCTGCCCGTCCCCACAGGGTCCGAGGGCCCTGGAACGGCGACAGATGGCCCTCCTGCCCACAGAGGCCGCCGCTCGGTGGCCCCTTGAAGCAGCCCCCCACCACCTTGCTAGTAGCCGCTGGGGGTCGCTGTGTGTGCGCTGAGCCCCTCTAGACGGCGCGCGAGGTCCAGGTCTGCGGGGTTGACAGCATCTCCTGTATGGCGCGTGCTGGCGTGTGACACTGTTGGGGGTGTCTTGCACCCTGGATGCTCCTCGCCCTGGTCCAACGTTGCAGCTTTATTCTCATGAAATGTGAATTCTGTCGCCTCCCCCTGGCAGAGGCCGCCGCCGCTCTTGAGGGCTTACCCTTTTGGGGGAGCCCTGAGGTCCTGAGGATTGGTTTTTCTGCTCCTGCCCAGGAAATGCCCCCGATATGAGCAGGAACCCTGCAGCCTGGCCCTCGGTTTCATCTCTTGTCAAGTACCCTCACTTTGCCCTTCAGGGAGTTGAGACTATTTTTTGTTGTTGTTGTTAAGAAGGCTTTATTTTCCTTTCAGTTCTCAAATTTGCTGGGTACAGTTTATCGGCGTGGAAACTTAAATTTCACATGCGATGGAAATTCAGTTATCAGTCCTGTGGGGAATAGAGTCACAATATTTGACCTTAAGAAGTAAGTATGCTGAAGTGACATTAATAACAGTGGTAACCTGTGTGTGAAGGCAGCTGGCATCTTTCTCGCCTGCCTTTTGGGGCACACCCGTTAGTTAAGTGGCCTGAGACAGATCAAGGATTTAGTAGGGTCAGTAGTGGAACTGCCTGCCCAGTTCCTTGTTCTTTATTCTGGTGTCTTAGCTCAGCCCCTAATGTCTACAAGGCTGACATTGTCTTTAATTGTGTCACTCAGGTCAGTAACATGGGAAAGGACCCTGCCTCTCCTATGGAGGTACAGGCAGGTGGTATATGGCTCAAGGTTAGTACCTCCCCATTGGTGGAGGTGCCTCAGTTCTCTAAGGCTAGATGTTGGTTGGGGGAGCAAAAGCCATCTCGACCCCTGCTCAGAGGCCTCCCGAGTGGCCTTGCCTTCTAGTTGGATGGGCAGTCCCATGGTATCCAGTTCCAGTTTGGCAGCTGGAAACCATTTCTGGTTGCTCAGGTTTACATGTTTCTTCTGAATACATGCATAGTTCCCCTCTATCTGATTACAGGCATTACTCAGTTCCTTCCCAGAAGTGTTGGAAAGTCCTTGGGCCAACCCTCCACAATGGTCTGAGTGGCATCTTTTTCTTTCTGAGGCTGTTCCAAGTGGGTGACCCTGGGCCATGGTTTCTCCATCTGTAAGATGAGATGGCAGTGGTACCTGCTTTGCCTGCAGGCAGTGACTGGTGAAGGACGTCGCTGACCTCTGGGACAGGTCGGGTGCTGTGTTGTTAGGACTGTTTTGTTTAAATAACATCTAGGGGGGGCTCTCCAGAGTTAGGAGAACATGCTCACTAAGAATAAAACAACAGAACTAGAACCCAGCTCTGACACTTAGAGGCATACTCTGTCATTATTGCTAATTTTTTTGTTTGTTTGTTTCTTTGCATTTTCTTGTTTCTATAAAAACATGAGCAGTGTGCCAACATGTGGCTATTGTGGTGGGACCCTTTGATGGTCACTCAGCTTGTTTCCAGTTTCCTGACTTTGAACTGGTACAGAATCTAATTGGATATCAGTCTAGAGGCAAAGTTGATTGTAACCAAAACCTGTTTTTAAGGGTTTTAGTGTGTCTTGCCAAGCTTCTTCCAGGGACAGTGCCATTCCTTCTTCCTCTGTGGGGAGTGTGAGAGATGAACTCTGAGCAGAATCAGTGGCATGGAAACGAGGCCATGTGGGGAGGGTTGGCTTCTGGTCTGAAGCCAGCCCTGTCTCCATTGTCTGATGACACAGACCCACTACACAACATGGTTTTTGTCTCTTTCAGCAACAAGTCTGACACACTACCCCTGGCCACTAGGTACAACATCAAGTGTGTGGGGCTATCCCCAGATGGCCGCCTCGCCATCATTGTTGATGAAGGTAAGAGGATGGGAGGAAGGACTAGGGTGTGAAGGTGGCATAAAGCAAACACCAGGTCCGCTGAGGGTAGGCCAGGGGCTAAGACATCCACTGTACACTCCAGTGGGTCTCTAGGACAAACATGTACCAAGGATGGGTTCTGCATCCTCTCTGGCCTCCCCTGGGGCCAGAATTCTGGTCCCACAGGGGCCATGGTTAGCACAGGACCTTGCTATGGTTTGACCTTGCAGATGAGGCTTGTGTGGTGTCTGGGGATCCCCAAGTAGCTATAGGCTTGTACTTGGCCTCTTGCAGGGGGTGCTGCACTCCTGGTCAGCTTGGTCTGCAGGTCGGTGCTGCACCACTACCACTTCAAGGGCTCTGTGCACAGCGTCTCCTTCTCTCCGGATGGCAGGTAAGGGTGGCTGGATCGCCAGCCCACCTGCCCACTTCCTCCCACTCAGGCTCAAGGCGGTCACCTGGGCACATAGCCCAGAACCTAGCTCTGACACTTAGAGGCATACTCTGTCATTATTKYTAGGTTTTTTTTGTTGTTGTTGTTTCTTTGCATTTTCTTATTTCTATAAAAAATGAGCAGCGTGCGGCAGCAGTGGGCACAGGAACCCCTGATCTGTCTGAGGGAGGGGGCAGCCGTGAGGCAGAGGAAGGTGGGTTCTAGGTCCTCTAGCATTGCTGGTGTCCTGCAAGCAGAAGGCTTGTGTTGCAGGATGCCACTTGGTTCTGTTTCTTCGTGTTCCCTCCCACGGCCAAGCTGTGTCTTGAGGCTCTGCGGCATCAGGGCTGTCATTGGTTCTGAGTGTTGTCTGTGCCCCTATCTCCTATAGAAAGTTTGTCATCACAAAGGGCAACCTCGCTCAGATGTACCATGCCCCTGGGAAGAAGCGAGAATTCAACGCATTCGTCCTAGACAAGACCTACTTTGGRCCATATGATGAGACCACATGCATCGACTGGACCGATGACTCCAGGTGGGGCTGAGGTGCCTTTGACTGATCTCTCTAGCAAACAGCTTCCTTCTCACCCCCCAGGGTTGCATTTTGAAATGTCTTCACCTGAGCCTTGTGTGGTGTGGGTGTGGCCCACAGTATTAGGCCYGGGCGGCTAGCTCCTGGTCAGGTCTGCGGTGATGTGACATTTTATTACTAGAAATCAGACAACAGAATCTGGATCTTGGGGAGAAATGAGAATTAAGTTTCAGTCTGAGTCACCGCACACCCTAGGCAGCTGTGCTGCCAGGAGTTGGTGAGTGTCATGATGTGCAGGCTGACTGCCTGAGGCCCTGCCACAGCAAGTCTGTGTCCACGGCTGTTCCTGCTCCAGAGGTGACCAGGGAGTTCCTGGCCTCCTAAAGACAGTGTGCATTCGATTGGGTCGGCAACTGGTAGAGGTGGCATGGCTTTTGTTCACAGGACCACCTTGTTCTGCACCCAGGACAGGCTTGCAGTGTGGGAGAATGCACCAAGCATGCTTGAGTGTCCTGTGGTGCTGGGTTTCTGTTCTCGAGTCTAAAAGACTYGGTCAGGGGTCACTCCAGTTAAACTGGGCTAACTGGGCTGCACAAAATAACCACACAAGAGACACAATACCTTTTTCTTTGGGTTTGCTGTGATGGCTCCTCTGACTTTAAGGGTCCGCAGAAAGAGAGCGAGAGCAGGCGCTGATCCCTTTATTGAGAAGCTATTCAAATGAGGCAAGGGGTCAGGTTTCAGGGGGCTGAGTATCTTCATGATGTCCAGTGTCAGCAGGTTGACTGACACCTGGGTTGGCCACCCCCAAGGGCACAGTAAGAGAAGGGGACACACACAAGGCACTTCCATGGAAGATCTATCCTAAACAGGGCAAGGGATTATATTACAAAGGAACAGGTGAGCGTAGCTMGACCCATGGGGCTGTAGCAAGACACACCCATGCACGAGACACGGACCCTCGCACCCAAGAAGGGTGGGGAAAGCTCTTCCACATTTCTATGAGTGAGTGCCTCAGCACCYAGCCRGGGAGTGTGACTCAGTCACGTGTAAGGATGGTTTCCCACACTGTGGGTCAGGCTTGGGCAGGTGTACCTTGTGGCTGTCTTCCTTCCACCAAGGGCCACTAAGTCCTATGCGTACGGCTATTTGTGCCATATATAGAGTGCACTGGAATTGAGTCTTGGCTGCACCTGGAGGGTGTAAGGAGGTGGCCTCCCAGGAAAGGCACATGATGGGTGCAACAGCTCCAGAGAGGAGACAGGGCTGCTTTGGGATGCCTTTCCTGTGCCCACAGGCACCCGAGCCACCTCTCCGTCCCTCACAGGGGATCAGGTGGTCTCTGCACAGCTCATGTTGGAGGGCAGATGAGTCTCCATTGCCATGGACTGCTGTGGTGGTAGTGGCACTTGGTCACAAACGCTGAGGAGCTGTGTGGTCTTGTTCCAGGTGCTTTGTGGTTGGAAGCAAAGACATGTCCACCTGGGTGTTTGGAGCTGAACGCTGGGACAACCTCATCTACTACGCACTGGGGGGACATAAGGATGCCATTGTGGCCTGTTTCTTCGAGTCCAACAGCCTGGATGTATGCCCTGGGCCCCAGATCCCTAGGCCAGCAGTGATGGGGGAATGCCCTGGGGCAGGCTGCAGGTCCTTCCTCCCTGAGCTGCTGCTTGGCTGTCCTAATTGTCGGGAAGACCTTTAGGGTTGCAGTTCTGAGGGGCCTTGAGTGGAACTGTGCCCAGAAGCTAAGCGGGAGAGGGGGTTCTTGGTGTAGAGGCTTGTGGCTGGCCTGGCTCAGGTTGGTTGGCTCAGGCCCAGCCATGTGCTTCCCTTGCAGCTGTACTCACTCAGCCAGGATGGAGCCCTGTGTGTGTGGCAGTGTGACACACCCCCAGAGGGCCTGAGGCTGAAAGCCCCCACAGGCTGGAAGGCAGATCTGCTGCAGCGAGAAGAGGCGGCGGAGGAGGAGGAGGAGGAGGAAGGACAAAGAGAGATCACCATTCGGGGGAAGGCCACACCTGCTGAGGAGGAGAAGAAGGGAAAAGTGAAGTACTCACGTCTGGCCAAGTAGGTCTTGAGGGCAGTGRTAGCCTTGGTGTGGTACTTGTGTGGTGGTGGCGTCTCCTACCCTCAGATGTAAACATGGGTTTCACATGGAGGTCCAGAGGACAGACCTTTGTCTGGATCTGGGTTTGAGACCCCGTGAGTACTGTGGTGTTGAGACTATGCCCAGGACCTAGAGCCCYGGCCTGCCTTAGTGATCTGGGGCAGAGGGGGGGGTGTGCCTGAGAGTGCTGTGGCTTTGCCAGCCCCTGCACTGCTCAGTGCAGGTGAGCCTTCCCCTGCCTCGGGGTCAAGGGGTCCGGAGTGCGCTCAGCATGATCTGGGCTGAGGTGATGAGGTATGAGACGAAGGCGAGGAGGACGCACTGGTGGACGTTGGCTGGGTGTGCAAGGTGGGTTCTCTGGCTCCTGTCCCCTAGAGCTCTGGGCTACCCCTCTTCCAGGCATACCACACTCTCCTGCTTCATGATTAGCACCCACCCAGTCAGCCATTCAGACTGGGGTGGGTTGGTTAGGTCACTACTCTCACAGTTGTGAACATCCCTGCATCGGCTGGGCTGGGCAGCKCCACGCACTTCATTTTCTCTAGCAGCACCCACCCAGGTGGGTGACCAGGACCTCACAGACTAGGGTTGTGGCCTCTCCAAACTAGGTCTGTTGGGTGGCTGAGAAACTGTCCTAGAGTCAGGGTACAGGGCCTAGGTAGGTTGTGGGYACTTGAGGACCATGCATCACCTGTAACCTGCCCTGTTGTGATTTTACTAGCCTAGATGCCTCCATTCAGCAGTTACTTTGGCCTGGACCTGTTATTTGTCTAGTGAGGCTCCCTCCTAGTTGAGAGGCAGGCAGAATGAGAGATGCACAGTGGTAGTGTGGCTGTGTGGGATGGCAGGTGGCCTCATGCTAGGCCATGGGGTGGGGGTGTCCATGTTCAGTTCTGTTCTGGGAGGTTCCCTGGCTTGAAGGGGAGTGGACCTTGGGGAGGGACAAGGGCAGGACCTTGGGGCTGGGACAGCTGGACTAGACTGGCCTTGGAGGGAATTTAGGATGTGACAGGAGGGAGCGTGCTGGGCCGTGGGCAGGCGGAGGTGGAGATGGGGGAGCAGGTCTGGCTGGAYTTTGGGTGCCCGTGGGAGTCTCAGAACAGTGCAGCTGGAGTGRGGAGTTGGGTGAGGACTGAAGGAGACCCCAGGAAGGAGGAGCTGCAAGGCACTGTCCAGTGAGGGTCACTCACTGGAGGGACTGCAGTCACAGTGTAGAGTGCGGGGGATGGCCCTTTTGGCATCAGTCACCTTAAGAGGGAAAGGTGAGGACAGCTGTGCTGTGCCTATGTGGAGCCAGGAACGGGTTAGATCACAGAGAGCCAGAGGTGTCATCAGGGTCACCTTGGTTATATGGGCAGAAAGTGATGGGCACCTACCCCCTGCCTCCCTGTAGGTGATGTTCCCTGTGAACACCCTACCCTCTTTGGCAAGGGGCAGGAGGGGAGACCATCTAAGAGGCATTGTTTACTTTTGTGTTGTTGTGACCAAAATACCTGTCAAGGGTCACCTCCAGGAGGAGAAGTGTGTTTTTGGTTCATGATCTCAGAGGTCTYAGTCCATAGATGGCTAACTCCATTGTTGTGGGTCCATGGTGAGGCAGCAGCRTCACGGTGGAAGGGCCCAGCAGAGCAGAGCTGCTCAGCTGCTGGCTAGGTCAGGAAGCAGAGTGGGGCCAAGGCTGCAGGGAAGAACAGGCACCCTTCCAGGGACCCCTCCTCCAGACATACCACCCTCTCCTGCTGCACGATTAGCACCCAGTCAGCCATTCAGACTGGGGYGGGCTGGTTAGGTCACTGCTCTCGCAGTGCAGTAGTGAATATCCCTGCCTTGGCTGGAGCTTTTGAGGGACAGTTCATATCCACACAATCAGAGGTGTCTTGGTCCTGAGCTCAGAACATAGCTGAGTGAGCCGGTGTCCGGGTGCAGCCGGGGTGTGGCCATCTGAGGTGAGCAGGGTGATCTGTCAGCTAGGTCCGTGGTCCTCCTTCTACAGTACTCCACCTATCAATCCAGGTACTTCTTCAATAAAGAAGGAGACTTCAACAGCGTGACAGCTGCAGCATATCACAAGAAGATTCGCCTCTTGGTCACAGGTTTTGCTTCTGGAATCTTCCATCTGCATGAGCTCCCAGAATTCAACCTCATCCACTCACTGAGGTGAATCCTCTGCTCACTGGGCTTTCATGCACCTGCCCCGGGGCTTAGTGATTGCTGGGGGGCCATYAGGGAGCCTGCTATAGTCCCCGGGGTGGCTCCCACCAGCCTGTAGCCTGTGTTGTGGCCCTGGATTTTGGTCTCAGAGGTGGGGTTTTTATTCTTTATCCTTGGTTTTTCTCTTCTGTTCTTCATCTTTGAAACAGAAAAAAATTAAAATACTAGTTCCACAAGTGAGTGCGGTTGAGGATGCTGCAGGGAGAGGGGTGGCCCTGGGTGGACGGGCACTCCTCTGCTCATCTCTTCTTGCCCTTTTCTGCTCAGCATCTCAGATCAGAGGATCACTTCAGTTGCCATCAACAGCTCTGGGGACTGGATTGCCTTTGGCTGCTCAGGTTTGTTTCCATGCCGAGCTGTAGAGATCGAATGTCCTAGAAAAGTCTGCCAGAGGACCATTGAGGCCCCTCGGTGTCGGGGGCTTACGTGGCCAGGAGAGTGATTTCCAGGGTGATTGCTCCTCTCCAGTCTGGGGCCTGGGGTTTCTTGTCTGACTTGTGGTCCTGCCCACAGCTCCTTGAATGGCCTCTTGGCCTCAGTCTCTCGGTCTGCAGTCGTGGCTAGTGGCCTGCACTCCAGCCACCTGCCAGGMAGGGGCTGCTCTCTGCCCTGGTCCTCGGGTCTGTGCTGTGTGCAGTGCCTATGAACAGGGCAGTCCAGCCCCAGCTGACCTGGGGTCAGGATCAGTCAGGGACTTGTGGTCCTGTACCCACAGGCCTTGGCCAGCTGCTGGTATGGGAATGGCAGAGCGAGTCCTATGTGCTGAAGCAGCAAGGCCACTTCAACAGCATGGTATCTCTGGCCTACTCCCCGGACGGGCAGTATATCGTCACTGGTGGGGACGACGGCAAGGTGGGCATTGGCCAGCACTGGAAGCAGGCAGCTGGGTGGGCCTTCATCCATGCAGAGCTGTGGGTGGCTCCTGCTGGCTTCTGAAGATGGGGGACATGTACAGGAATTTGAATGGCGAGGGCTGGGGTATCCCTGTGTCCCCATTTCTGCCCCAGCTGGGTCTGAGGTGGCCAGGTGCTTGCTTCTCTGCCTCAGGCTTCGCTCACCTGGAGGCAGGTGGCTGGCTGTGCTCACACTGTCCCTTGGTCCCGCTGCAGGTCAAGGTATGGAACACCCTCAGTGGCTTTTGCTTCATCACTTTCACGGAACACTCCAGTGGGGTCACTGGTGTGGCATTTACTGCCACCGGCTTTGTCATYGTGACCTCTTCCCTGGACGGCACCGTGCGCGCCTTCGACCTCCACAGGTGATGGCCTCTGCCGTGGGTGTGGCTGCCCACGTACAGGCGAGGGTGTCTGACACTGGCCTGTAATGCCAGCCTGGGGCTCTTTTCCCCACAGGTACCGGAACTTCCGCACCTTCACATCTCCGCGCCCCACCCAGTTCTCCTGTGTGGCCGTCGACTCAAGTGGGGAGATCATCTCTGCCGGGGCCCAGGACTCCTTTGAGATCTTTGTGTGGTCCATGCAGACGGGCAGGCTCCTTGAYGTAAGTGCCTGTGTGTGCAGTGCCTATGATCAGGGCAGTCCAGCCCCAGCTGACCTGGGGTCAGGATCAGTCAGGGACCATGCCCTGATGGGGAAGGGGCCACCCTGGTCTGGCCCCCAGAACACTGGCATGCTGGCTGGGGACGTGGGGCCTTCTCCTGCAGGCCTGGCAGAGGGCAGAGGTGGAGCTGGCCTCCCTCTCAGGTGTGGTGTGGAGCTCTTGGAGCACTGTGTCAGCCCTTCTCACGCCTCTGTGCCTCTGTAGGTTTTGTCTGGCCACGAGGGGCCCATCAGTGGTCTGTGTTTTAATCCAATGAAGTCCATCCTGGCCAGTGCTTCCTGGGACAAGACGGTGCGCCTGTGGGACATGTTTGACAGCTGGAGAACCAAGGAGACGCTGACCCTCACGTCGGATGGTGAGCTGCAGCTGGGGTTGGCAGACAGTGACCAGGGGCCAAAGTGTGTCTTGCTCTGGTCTAGCTCTGGTCTCATCTCATCCCTTTGTCTGCCTGGCTCTTGGTTGTGTGTGTGACATGAGCCTAGCAGGTGAGAAGAATAGCCCAGACCCCGCAGTGCAGGGCAGCCCGGAGGCTGACGGTGCTTAKCCAACACTGGGAGGCAGTGCTTCTAGCATCACGACCCTGGGGCTGGGAGGTTCAGCGGGGCTCCCAGTCTGCTGCGCACAGGGCTCCCAGGAGCAGCTGCTCCCCCTGCTTTCTAGAGTTGCCGCTGTGCTTGACCAGTCAGTGGCTGGTGCACTGCTGATGCGCCTGGGATTGAGCCCRCTGTGGGGGTGCCTGACTACCCCTCATTTTTCCTGAATCAGGCCTTAGGCCCTGCTTCACCCTCCACCCCTAGTCCAGGCTCAGCAACTGCAGCCCTCRCTACATGTCCTCTCTGCACTTGGCCTGTCCATTTACCCCTGAGTGGTCTTTCTGTGACTCAGCTGCCAGCCTCACCTCTGGACAGTCCAACCTGATCCAGGGTCCTGGGGGTCTCCCTGTCCCCTCCAGCTTGTTCCCAGCTAGGGTGTGCAGTTCCCTTGCCTGTTGGCGTTGGCACCTCCCTTGGGGGGGAGCTTCCTGTGCACTAGAGGGGCTGTGGGTCTYCTGGGGTGTGGAGCATGGCCTGTCTGCCAAGCTGGGTGTCTGTTTCTCAGAGCCTGAGGCTTGTTTCTCTTTAGCTCTAGCTGTGACTTTTCGGCCTGATGGTGCAGAGCTAGCTGTGGCCACGCTAAACTCACAGATCACCTTCTGGGACCCTGAGAACGCAATACAGACGGGTTCCATCGAAGGCAGACATGACCTCAAGACAGGCAGGAAGGAGCTGGACAAGATTACGGCCAAGCACTYGGCCAAGGGCAAGTGAGTGCCAGCAGGGCACAGGCCAGAGCTGCTTCACACGTTCCTGTTGGCTTGTCAGCCTGTAGGGACTGGTGGTTTCTGAGGCCTTCCCCCAACCAGGACCCTGGGACCAAGTTCCTACAGCCACTTTTTTGTGGGTGGGGGGGGGTACCAAGGATTGAACTCAGAGACAACCACTGAGCCACACTCCCAGCCCTATATTGTATTTTATTTAGAGACAGGGTCTCACWGAGTTGCTTAGCATGTCACTGTTGCTGAGGCTGGCTTTGAACTCGTGATCCTCCTGACTCAGCCTCCCAAGCCGCTGGGATTACAGGCCTGCACCACCACACCCAGCCCTACAGCCACTTTCTTTCTGGTGTAATTCTTAGTTCTTGAGAGTGCCACTGCAGGAGAAAGGGGTTGGGGAGGCCGTCTTGATTTGCTGAATGTGAATGTGCACAGCCCAAAGTCTGAACCAACTCCAAACTTCCCTCTCTCCAATGATGTCATCAGCCTGGTGTTTAAAACAAAAAGGCCCAAAGCTGCCCTGCACAAGAGCAGACCCAGCCTCTGTACACCAGCTGCCTTCCAGGTGCTTGGCAGGCATCCGCCGGGCCTGGTTCTGTGTTGGTGGSGAACCACCAGGCTGTTTCTGCAGTGGCTGCCCTGTTTTACATTCCCACCAGTTACGCACCAGGTCCCTTTTCCCTGTGTTTTCACCAACGTCCTTTCCTTAGATAGAGCCAGTCTTCTCGGGTGCATCGGTGTCCAGAGCCGGTATTCCTCTGCCCAGCAGAGGTGGTGCGCTTGCTGGCTCTGCCCTCCATGGAGGAGGGGTAGGACCTTGGTGCGTACTCACGGGTGTCTACTGAGCTGTGGTGGTTCTTCCTGTTGGGCATGAAGCCTCTGCGGGTGGGGATTTGCAGATACCTTCTCTTCTGAGTTGTTTTACTTTCTGTGGTGGTGTCACAAATTTGGGTGGCATCCAGTTTTTTTKTTTTTTTTTTTTTTTYCTGCTGTCCCTTGTTCTTTTGGTGTCGTATCTCAAAAACCCTTGCTGTCCCAAGGCCATTGTTCCCTGTTTTTGGCACCCAGGGCATAGCTGTTGCTTTTTGCAGACCTACCAAGGGGCTGTGGGAGAGCTGGAGGTGGGCGGGTGACTATATGTGCCAATATGGACCTGGTTTTAGCCATGTGGTCCTGTTCTGCCTCCTGGCAGATGTATCTGGTTCTCTCCTGACAGAGTGGGTGCACACACTGTTGGAGGCCCTGGGTGTGAGAGTCTTAYGTAAGGTCAGGCAGGGAGCCTCAGAGGCGTTGGAGAGGAAAGAGGGCTCCCCTCTGGGGACGCTGGTGTGGGGTTCTGACTTCTTCAGAGCTGCACGTCAAGAGGCCTGCTGTGAGTCTGAGTGCCTTTATTCTCTGCCCAGGGCCTTCACCACTCTGTGCTACTCTGCAGACGGCCAGAGTATCCTGGCGGGGGGCATGTCCAGGTTTGTGTGCCTTTACCACGTCCGGGAGCAGATCCTGGTGAAGCGGTTTGAGCTCTCCTGCAACCTCTCTCTGGACGCCATGGAGGTGAGCAGTTGTGTGGGCCCTGACATAGGTGCTTCTGACAACCTGGGCCCCAGCCAAGCTGTGAGGTCAGCACCAACATACAGCTGTGACTGGCTGAGCGGTTCCTGAGCCACATGCCTGCAGTACCTGCCAGGGCCTGACACTTTCCCCACTTTTAGAGTTTGACCCCACCTGAGCGGGTGGCCAGGGCTGGAGTGCCCAGTGCACTGGCTTGGGCCATACACTAAGCCCTATAAGGGAAGGAGTGGGGGTGGAAGGTGCTGGTGGACTGCCTGCACCTGGGCCATCCGTCTGGTTGCAGTGTGGGAGGGCTCTTCCTCCACTGCCCACAGGTGCCTGCCCTCTGCACACCTCAGACTGTGGTCCAAGTCGCTCCTCGTGCCCTGGTCTCTCAGGAGTGCAGGGTGTGGACTGAGGAGAACCGAGGCCTCTGGGCAGAGTTGAGGGCCTTCTGTGGTACCAGAAGCCACCCTCCTGCTCCTGAGAAAGTGTCCACATTTCCCTCGGGGAGCAGCTGCCCTCATGTGCAAGCAGATGTCCGCTGTGGGCGAGGGCCTGTCCCTGTAATGGTGGCAGTGGTGTCCAGTGTGCAAGGGTGAGTGGGACTCCTACACTCGGCTCCAGTGGCCTCCACCTGCGCCTTGTGCAGCCAGCCCTGAAGGAAGACTGGGGACCAGGAACAGCGCCCCTTGGCCTTGGCCTGTGTTCTCAGGGCCCACTTGTGGTCTGGTCTCCATTCCACTCATGGCTAGAGGCTCGTCCACTGTGGGCGGTTTGTCTGCTTGGCACACAAGCAAGAGGGAGATGAGGAGAAGGTGTTCATGGCTCTTGCTGTTCTAGGAATTTCTGAATCGAAGAAAGATGACGGAGTTTGGCAACCTGGCGCTCATTGACCAAGATGCCGGGGAAGAGGACGGGGTTGCTATTCCGTTGCCAGGTGTGAAGAAAGGTGAGCAGAGTCCCCTTCTGTGTCTTGCCTGTCACCTGGTCTTCTTTGTGGCAGTGTTTCTGCTCTCTTGGTTGGGGCTGCAGTTTACGGAGTCAGCGGTTACTGCATCTTGGTGTCTTGCTGGTTGGGGGGGGGGTGCTGGTGCCATCATCCCTGCCGGGCACAAAAGACTGTCCTGTGAGTTACTGCACGCAGCTATGCCACTGTGTCCTGTGGGGGTACAGGGTGGATCAGGGGTTCCTGTGCATCTTCTGATTCCTGGGGAGCAATCTGAATGTACTTGCTCCCCAGTAACTGCAGTTGTTCTTTTCTTCCCAGGTGACATGAGTTCTCGCCACTTTAAACCTGAAATCAGAGTGACTTCACTGCGCTTCTCTCCCACTGGTGAGCCCTGAGTGAAGGGTTGTTRGTCCCAATGTGTCATGACCTGTGTTCCCAGGGACAAGGTCAGTCAGAGCTGCCCTCAGGCTCTGCACTGCACTCTGTCCCTTACAAGTGGGAATGTGGTGATGAACCCTGCTGCCATATGGTCTCCTTGTCCCTGAGAAGGGACAGCTATTGAGAGCTCCTGCCCCAGGCACATTCAGCTTTGATATGTGGTGGCTCAGGGCCATCCTGGGAGGTGGCCTCCTCAGACCTATTAAGCACACTCAGGCGTGCAGGAGGGTCCATCTGGGCCTTTCAGGAACAYGTGGTCCCCTTGGGCAGAGCAAGGTGAGGATCATCAGCCAGCGCTTTCCAAAATGGATGAAGCAAAAAAGCCAGGTGCAGAACCACTCCTGAGCCTTGCATCCTGTGAACCAGAGGACCCCAGGGCCACTTCTGCCCAGCCACCTAGGGTTTTTTTTTTTTTTTTTTTGGTAATGGGATTGAACTCAGGGTGCTTAATCTGAGCCACATTTCTAGTATGGTTTTATATTTTATTTAGAGACAGGGTCTCAGTGAATTGCTAAGTGTCTTGCTAAGTTTCTGAGGCTGGCTTTGAAATCAATGATCCTCCTGCTTCAGTCTCCACAGTCGCTGGCATGACCAGCATGCACCACCACCCGGCCAGCACCCTAGTTTTGTAGCTCAGGTTTTCCTGAGACAAATCACTTGTGATCGTGTCCCAGGCACTGTGCAGCTACAGCAGGGACCATTTGGCTTCTCTCGTACTGAAAAGTTTACAGGCTCCTGGTACAAGCAGAGGGAACAGGCACGTGTGTCCTTGCTCACGTGTGCAGGCAGTAGGCCTGGGGTTCCGTCCACCAGAGTGACCCAGGCAGTTCCTTCCCCAGGGGCAGGGTGGCAAAAAGAAGATGTCCCAGTGCCCTCCTGCACTTCGGTGTTTGGACCGTGAGCATGTATTTAACATCTTGCCTTTCTTTTAAAGATTGAGAAATCTCTTTCACTCTTCATCCCCCAGGGCGCTGCTGGGCAGCCACCAGCACAGAAGGGCTCCTCATCTTCTCCCTGGATGCCCAGATGCTCTTCGACCCATATGAGCTGGACACCAGCATCACCCCTGGGCGGGTACGGGAGGCCCTGCACCAGCAGGAGTTCACTCGGGCCATCCTTATGGCCTTCCGGCTCAATGAGAAGAAGCTGGTACAAGAAGTCCTGGAGGCTGTGCCGCGGGAAGACAGTGAGTAGGGGCCTGGTCAGGTGGAAGCTCAGGGGTCCGAGGTGTTGCTCTCTTTGCTACTTTGGTTGTCACAGAATAAGCATAGCTTTTCTTTTGCAGTTGAAGTTGTGAGTGCTTCTCTTCCTGAGCTGTATGTAGAAAAGGCACTTGAGTTTTTAGCTTCCTCATTTGAAGTGTCTCGTCACCTTGAATTCTACCTCATATGGACACAGAAGTTGCTCATGTCCCATGGACAGAAGCTGAAGCCCAGGTATGTTGGGCTTCCCTGCTGTTGGTGTGACCTTTCACATGGCCAGCTGATCCTGGTGGTGATGGGGAGCTTTGTGTTCAGGAGCAGCATGCACTGGGCCTGGTGTTGCCCCCCCAGTAACCACTGCACTCTGAGGGTGTCTCCTTTCCAGTGCAGGGCGGCTGCTGCCTGCCGTCCAGTTCCTTCAGAAGAGCCTCCAGCGGCACCTGGATGATCTGGCAAAGCTGTACGTGCGGGGCTGGCGGTAGGGTGGGGTTCGAGCTCTTGTCGTGGGTTCTGTGCCTGGGACTGCTCCCTGCACCACCTGACCTGGGCACAGAAGGTTCCAGGGTTGGAGAGTGTGCCACCCATGCTGGGTTTGAAGCACAGCTTTGGTGCAGCTGGTGCTAAAGGAGCTGAGCCAGAGAAGGGGTGTGCCTGAGGTGCAGCTTGAACCTCCAACCTCAGGGCATTTGTCACAGTCCTAGGACAGGGTTGTCTGTTCTGGATTTCCATGTCTCCTGCATGAGCAGTAGGAGCTGGCTGGTAACAGGGTGCCTGGTGTTGATGATGAGAGTGTATCTAAGGGGCTTGGACAGTACCTGGACACTGAAGGTACTCTGCAAGGCCACCCCTTCTGCTTAGACAACCTGACTGCATCTCCCAGCTTGCCCTGACAGGATGTCTGCTTCTCTTTGGTGCCCATCTGGGCTGGTGACAGGTCTGTTCCCTGCCCTGTCTGGGTCCCTGGGCCAACGCTCGAGTCTGGTCCCAGTGGTGTTCTATCCTTGAGCTGTCCCCCGTCTTTATAATGGGGCTCAGTCTAGAACAAGTCCTTCCTCCAAATGCCTCTGCTTCCTTGGCATCAAGGCTTCCCTGCAGGAAGGCTGGGGCTTTAGGGTGCCATTCCTCATCTGGTAGCTTATTGCTGATTTGCTASTGTGCTCCAGCTTATGGGTCTGGGGGAGGACCCTGCTAGCCAGCCCGTTGCCCCGGTGATTCTTCACTGAGTCGGTTTGCTATCTTCCTGGGAGCTGTTGGTGTCAGGAATGTGTGATGTGACCAATTGACTTTCTAAATGACCAGTGCGAGGGCCTGGCAGGGAGGCCATTYGTTTGGGCAGAACCCAGATCTGGGCAGGGAGGGCAGAGGATCCTGTGGAGCAGGTGGGCCGGGGTGCTGGTGGAGTGGACCTGATGCCTGTACTGACGTGATGCCCTGTACCCACAGCTGTGACTGGAACCGCTACAACCTGCGGTATGCTCTGGCCATCTCCAAGCAGCAGGGTGTGAAACGCCCCCTGGACCTGCCGGGAGTTGAGGATGATGGGGAAGCATCCGATGAGGACAGTCTGAACCTGCTGGGAGGGGCCAGAGATGAGCCCACTGCCACTGCGGCTCCTGACTGTCTTGGTTGAGACCTTCCAGAGGGATGGAACCTCCTGTCACCTGGGCCCAGGACATGGGAGTGCATCCAAAGTGCTGGGATGTTGTCACRGAGTCTCCCTTTTCCGTGGAGAAGCACACAGCCCATCAGGACAGCGAGCCAACCTGCTAGCACCCAAGCAGGCACTTGGGTGCCATGGGCCAGGATCCCTCAGTGAGGACTTTCTAACATTGCCTTCACGAAATGTAAATAGGTTCATGTTTGTGGACTCACATAAACTTAATGGGAGTTATTTATATTTTTAATACAAAGTTCTAAAGATAAACTTGGGATTAGAAACATGAGATTCTGGAAATGTGTTAATATACTGTTAGTGGGTGTGAGAAGCTGGACGGCATGCCTGGGATGAGGCAGGGAAGGCAGGGCAAGTGGCCGCCTGCCTGGGCCTGTGATCTGGTGATCTGTCTGCACAGGTCAGGGCAGGGAGCCCCTCAGAACGCTGGCATTGGAGGGTGTACATGGGGGAGCTCGCTCAGAGCTACTGTGCCAGCCTGCACGGCCACACAGTGCCACCCCCGACTAGCGCAGGACACAAAACAAAATACAGACACAACTTACCTTTACACAAGCTTCAGGACGGCTTCCCTGGCTCTCAGCCTCAGGTTCCCAAAAAGGGAGAGCAAGAGAAAGTCACGAGAGGCTGGCGAAAGAGCAAGCGAACACGTTCGGAAGTCAGCTTTTCTTGGGGAGACACTGTTCTTAGAAGGTTCCATCCGTAAAAGGGCAGAAAGGGGTAGGATTTCAAGGGAACAGGTGAGTGTAACTCAACRCCAGGGGCACTCCTACAAAGAAGACAGTCTTGCTGTCCGAGCTGGGTCAATGCCCAAGCCACAGCAAATGTGGTCAGAGACTGGTGCATCAGGCCTGGAAGGCATGGTCATTCAAAGCTGCAGCTCCCCACATATTTCCCCTTYTTTCTTTGAAAAAGCAGGTGATGAGTCACTATCTCGAGTCCCTGGATTCTTGTCCTGAAGGCATGACATCCTATGATTACAACACAAGAGAGAATTAGTAGCAAGGAGAACAGTACAAGGATGTACCATGCAGAGTGTTTAAGAATGTTTCCAGGGTTAAAGCCACTTAACTCTCGAGGTATTTGATCAGTTAAAGAAGTAGGATCCGAAAAATCAATCTTACTCTTTTGTATATCTTGGTATATAGTAATGTAACTCCAAAAGATCCAAGCTGCTCTTATTACTCTGCAAAATACCTAACAAATGGTTTCTAGCCTTCTCCCAATCCCATTGTGGAGCACTGTATTTGGCAGCACTAATACACACACAGTCAGCATTATGTTTGAGCCTTTCCTTGAATTTCAAAGCTGAAAGCTCATTACCAATATTTATGACAGTAGCCTCGAAGGCATTTAGCTTAGTCACAATCCTTTTATCAATATTTGTTTGTTTATGAAGAGTTTTGTAAGTGTTCTTAGTCAAATTATTAAGAAAATCTGTATGTTGAATATTTTGAGATTGGCCACCGAATCTGTGACCATGGAAGCAATAAATGAAACTAAGGCAACTACTCCCAATACTCCAAGTCCAAGAGCACATTAGGTCTCGCTAGCTGGGCTTGTGCCTGTTGTAAGACTTGGAAACCAGCCGCAGCATACCCTGGCTCTGAAGTATCAGCTGGCAATGAGAGCAAAGAGGGCTGATGACATCATATCTGCGCTCCTTTCCCTCTACTATATCTGGTGATACAGTGAGTTAAATTACAGTTATTACATGCTACAAGATATCTATTCTTTAACTTTCACATTTCCAGTAATTAAAGGAGATTGGACACAGGCCATAACAGTAACCCTCCTTACAATTTTTGCCTACAAAGTCTGGTAAAGATTTGTCAGTAAAATGTAAAAATTCTGAGGCAGCAATTAAGCACCAGACATCTTTCTGAATACCACCTTTTCTGCAGGTCAAGATGTTACTAAAATTTCCCAGGGGTCATGGCAGCACCCTTGCATAAATGCTTTTTGTCAAATCTAGGAGGTCAGTCTATTTCTAGACACCTTATGCTGTACTGGGAAAGTATTTCTACAATCCATCCACTTAGGAAAGATGCCAATTTGTATYGCAGAACAGTTAGGACAGTGAGGTATTCATGGACATTCTGCTGAAATGATTGGCTTGTTATGAGAAAGTTCCATTTTAATAACTGATCTGATTTAATGCTTTGAGTCTCTGGGGATAGTACGGTTAGCTGGTCTAGGTCCCCCAACTGCTATCTTTTCCTCAAAGGATACTTTTGGAAAGCCAGCATGTTTATCATGGGACCAACACCTAGGAAATTGAGCACTATAGCCAGACAAGTAAATCCAGTCATGTGGGTGACAGTAATRTGGGTGTCTGTAAATCCTCCCATTGTGTATGAGTCATTAGTAAATACTGGGATGGATTCTCCAGTCCACACCACTGGGTGTATAAGAGGTGGATCTGGAAAATATGCCCAACAGGTTTCTCCCTGATTCCCCTTTACCTCACAGCTCGGTAGAGCTAGTATTGTGGCGAGCATCATTGAGACTTTGTTTTTCCTTGCTGCAGAGTCATTTGCTCAGCCTGCAGCATCAGATTCTTTAGCTGCTTCCATGAGGGTAGCTTCACTATTGGGTCTCTGGGCCATCTTCTTTCCCCTCTTCTTTTGAATTCCTCTTACTGGGGGGAGACAGGTCTGGTGGCTCTGGATCGATCCTCAGTTGTTTCAATCTTTAAATCTTRGTTCTAGGTCCTCCATGTCTGATGGCACCTTCAGGTACCCAGATAGAAAGAAAAGCACCTTCTGGGAAAATACAAACATGAGCTCTGCCCCACATAGTCACTGGATCTGGTCCTCTCCATTGGCCAGTCTGCAAATCTTCCACCCTTCCTTAAAGGCCTATTGCTGTGGAAGATGTGTTGCTCAGCTGCAGTGCGACCTTCTGAGCCACAGTTTGGAAAGTTTAAAACAAACAGAGCATGATTGAGGTTATTTGGGGGGGTTCTAGTCCCATCTCCCCCTTTCTGTTTTTGTGATTATAGCTTAATAGATAAATGAGCTTATTCGACAATAGCTAATCTGATCGTAAACTGGCAGATCATAATTTAGCTGCCTTTTCAACTTGGCAAAATCTCCAGTTCCAGTTAACATCACCAAAGGGACATCAAAGCCTTGCCTCCAATTTCTCTCAGCCTGTTCAGTGCAATAATTGGTCCAGTTGGACTGCCACAATAAATAATCGCCCCCCCCCTCAAAAAAAAAGGCATGCTTTAGCCAGTGTAATCCAGTCATGCAGGGGCAGAGGCTCACTACATAAAGACTGGAGCAGGCTTTGAACAAATGCTGAATTTAGACTGTAAGTACAGCAAGAATTTTTGAGTTCTTTAGAGTTTTAAAAGGAACCACAGCATGCACATGGACACATTGGTTTTGCTTGTTAACCTGCTCAAAAACTGGGAAAAGCTGAAAACCTGCAACATCCTCCCCGCCTCCAGTGCTGTCCTAAGGCCACACTGGCGTGGCAAAAGTGTGGCTACAGCCAGTACAGAATAGTTATTGAACCTCGTTCTCCTGGAGGAGAGTGGCCAGATCAGAATGGTGGACGCAGGGCCCATCAAACATAACCTACCAAAGCCCTCCTCCAGCTCAGTCTCACTCTCTGATTGGGAGTCTTCAGACTGTGGCTCGCTTCATCAGTATCTTCCTGTCCATTTTCCTTCCCTCCATCCTGGATCAGCCTCATGGAAACCCARTCAGGGCTGGTTTCCTCTCTAGCACATGCCCCTACCCATGAGTTCTGGCCGCTGGTGAGTCACTGTCTGAACATTTGGTCTCACCCCAAGGCCCTCTGTCTGCTGTTTGTGAGCTGCAGACTGGGCGAGAATTTACTCTGCCCTCAGTTCTGCTACAGATAGAGAAAACCGCCTGAGAGCAGTTGTGGGCTGTTTTCTTGCTCCAGTCTTCTAATTGCTTTTTGCAGCCCTTTCAACAAATCTTCCGAAAACCATTGGTCTTTGTCTCGGTTATCAAAAAGACACATTTCTAGAGCAGTCAAGACTTTTTGGATATTTTCTATTGTGCCCCTGGATAGCTTGGCAGAGAGGCAGCCTTCAGGCAATTTTCTACCTGGCCTTTCCCAAGTACGCAAATCTGGYGAATCTTCTTCACAAAACCACGGGCATATGTCACTGTTTTTAGGAATTGAGCCAGCTGGGCCCTTTTGACCTGTTTCCCTCTCTGGTTAATTAAAGTGTCCAGGATCATCAGATAAATCTTTCTGAAGATGTGCAATTGCCAATAATAATTTTTAAACGTCCCTGGCTCTCAATTTGTCTGCTTTTTTCACAACCCCAAAACACCACAATTCTCTGAATTTCTTTCTTTTTTTTTTAATATTTATTTTTTAGTTTTCGGCGGACACAACATCTTTGTATGTGGTGCCAAGGRTCGAACCCGGGCCGCATGCATGCCAGGAGAGCACGCTACCGCTTGAGCCACATCCCCAGCCCAATTCTCTGAATTTCTAAAGCATGCTCACCCAAGTCTACTTCCAAATTCACCCCCCCAATGTCCCTGTTCGGGCGCCACCTGCCACTCCCCACCAGCATGGACAGCTGAACTAAGGTCACTTGTGTGAATTTGTAGGGACACAGACACAACTTACCTTTACACAAGCTTCAGGACACTTTCCCTGGCTCTTGACCTCAGTCTCCCAAAAAGGGAGTAGAAGAGAAAGTCATGAGAGGCTGGAGAGAGAGAGAGATAGAGATAGATATTGAAAGTCAGCTTAATTCTTGCGGGGGACACTGTTCTTAGAAGGTTCTATCCATAAATGGGCAGAAGGGGCAGGGCTACAAGGGAACAGGTGAGTGTAACTCAACCCCAGGGGTATACCCACAAAGAAGACAGCCTTGCTATCYGAGCTGGGTCAACACCCAAGCCACAAAGAGTGCAGTGATTGGTCAGCCTGGTGCATCAGTATTGGAAGGCATGGTCATTCAGAGTGGCTCCCCACAACACAGAAGGGGACACCATTCCCCCATGCAGTGCTTCACCCTTGTAGCATATGTATGCTGTCTACCAGGACCAAACAGCCTCTTTGCCAGCAGTGAGACCCAGGTCAGTGGATGGTGCACCCAAGCCACCTCTTCTAGTTGCTGGAGCTGATAACATGCCCACCTGCCTCCAGCTGGTGCCACACCACAGGTTGGGGAAGATGGCTCATGTGACACCCAGTGTGCTAGGAGCTGCTACCACCAGACCATCATTAGACTCACAGGGTGTTCTAACCCAAGTGCTTCAGCCACCT